ACACCAAAGGTGACTGTGCTGTACTGTGAGTCTCCTTTCCAGTCCTCAGCTGTCCTGAAATTCAGCTGACTGAAGGATTGCCTCTAATATCCTGCTAGGTCAACCCCTTTGCTTCTGCTGTCTTTGAAGCCATGGAATAATAACTAGCTTTTGTGTCAGATAGCCAGATATATTGCTGTTACTGTATTAGCCAGAGTGTCTGTTGTTTGAAGTCCCATTTACTGCATTCCAGCTGGTACTCAGGAGTTCATTTAGGCATGTTTAATCTTCTCATGAGTTTTAACTACTGTTTTTCTTTATTAACCCAGTGAATGATACCAAGCTTTCCCAGGATGATTGACATCAGTCAGGAAGAACATTGGTTATTGGATCTCCATTAGCTAATGAAGTCATCTTTGTAAGCAAACAAGTGGAAAGACTTGGGCTTTGATGTGTTCGCTGAGAACACTTTCTTGCAGGCTCCTCCTAGGGTAGAGATATGAGTCCTCTGCAAGGGTTCCAAAGTTTCTGCTTTTGGAGATTGATTGATCCCTATCCAAAGTTTGGACTTTCTACTGTTCTTCCAGACACCAGACTGGCAAAACCAAACAAATGACAACCATCACAGCCCAATAAAAAATTCATTGTGCTTACCAACTTGTGGAAATCTTTTCAGATGTCCTTATCTGTAGGACTTTGTCCTTGTTGTGACAGGCTGTGCCATGCCAAAGCATATACTTGTTTTTTCATTCTTCGGGAAATAGAATCTGTCATTTCATCACATTGTTGCAATATTGTTCTCTCCTCCTCTTCAAGACTCTAAATAAGAAATTATCTTACAATCTGTTTAACAAATCTAGGACAAGAAGGTGGAAGAAGAGTTCTTGTGATGCAAAGGGTCTGGATCGTCCCAGTTTTATTGTCCCATATTCAGCTGCTAGGCCCTGATACCTAAAATAAGTTAATGTATTACAGTTCATATTACATACTTCTCTTTGGCAATTTCAAAGAAAGTGAGTCTTAAATAAACCTGCCTTCCAGAATAATCCAGAAGATTTATTTGTTTGTTTGGTTTTTTTTAATTGAAAAATATGTGTTAAATAGATTAATCAAATATATAAAACTTCAGGGAGAAGTACAATAGAGTAGTGCATTTCATGATTCCTCTGTGACTGTCCTGAATGAATGATGACTTTTATTATTCTTTCATTGGCATTATGGTACTGATGGTTGGTATTGTATGTATCCATATGCAATACTGGTGTTATATTACTTTGTTGTGGTTAAGCTTTGTTGTAGTTATGCTATTATTATTTCCGGTCACAGTGTGGTAACTTCTTTAGTACTTCCTCTGTCAGCTCAAAAAAAAAAATCTTGTTGGGCCATTGACTTGCTGAAGCCCTGACTAAAACAGGCAACTCTGTCACAGTTACCTCCTTGCACTGACAGTATGTAGTGTGTAGATGGCTACTCTTGACTATGTTCCTCACTGCAAAATGGAACTGAATCCTTCTTTGGAATCAGAGATAGCAGGGAACAAGTGGTAGAGGTACAGTGAGTACTCTCAGAAAATGCATATTAACAGAACTGCCCCTCTGGCAAATGAGGGTTATCAGGTTGCATTTTCCTTCTTTTGCCGACACCCAGAGAGATTACTTCGAGTGCCTGCAGAGAAGCAGGGTCAACAGCATTTGTGAGCTCATTGAGACTTCAGAGCAGCCATCCTTTCCTGGTTGATAGACTTGTACTGCCAGTCAGTAAAGCTGGTGAGATTTTTATAGCAACTTAGAAGATCAGTTGTCTCTGCTTGAAGGAAAATTTCTGCCCTGAGCTAAGTGAATGTTCTAGTTCATGCGGATTCAATGAAAGGAGGGACAGGACTTTACAATGCTGAGCAAGAGCAACTCTGAATAATGCCACAGACTCTAAAAATGTGATTTGTGTGGTGATTACCTTCCTTCTGGAAGCAGCAGCATGCATTGAGGACTCTCAGTGACATTAAGAATTTGGGATATGCCGGGCTATATGACATCTTGTAAAACTGGGCGAGGTCTCTGCTCTATCTGCTCTTTTCTTTTTTTTATCCATCATTTGCCTCTTCTTGATTGGAGACAGTTGCTCTTAAATCCTTTTTAATTCAGTTTTGAATCTTGGTATCTTTTAGAAAAGATATGCCTACTGCACAGCTGCTCCTTTCTGTGACTGGGTTTATAATTTTATAATCATTTAAAGTGATGATGCTCCTAAGAAAGTGATAAATACAATCAAGTAGCACTGCTTGGTCCAGTGTTGGTGATTCAATTGCAGTGTCAGAGTCTTAGAGAGTAACTCCTATCTCAGCCTTTAGGAAAGCTGTCCAAGTCAGCTGGAATTTTCTGTAGAATAATATTTTTTTATCTTTTCAGGTTAGATTAACCTTGTACAGAACTTGTAAATGAGTGTTACAGGAAACATCTGACCTTGGAACTTCATTTTATTCTTTGCTACATTGAACAGCTTTAAACTCATTATGGTATTGTCTAATACTCTCAAGGTATGAGGAAAGGCCTCATATAGAGGCAGATATCTCCAAATGGTATCTTGCTGCATGAGTTTATCAAGTTATCTCATAAGCTCCTTAATTCTTCATTCCCACTATTCTCAACTGGGTTAAAAATACCTCCTTCAGGTTCAAAATGCATAAGCTGTGTCTGATTTGCTGATACAATTGGCATCATATATCAATAATCCAGGATATGAAGTAGAGACTCCACCTTTGGTATTTTTAACATTTACTTTCCTTTACTTTGACATTTATTCCACCAAATCCTGCATATGTGGAAGAATGATAGGGGAGAGCCATGCTCTCTCATTTCCATCATCTTCACGGAGATGCTGTTCATCATGGACAGTTATTTGATTGTCCAAAGGAAATAAACCTCCATTCCTATTAGCAAGAGTTAATTTTTGCAATGGAAATGTTTCCATTCAATTACATTAAGGCCATGTAATTCCTTTTGCATAAGTTGCCATACAGCAATTTTGTAGGAGGGTTTGGGACTCAGTATAGTAACCTGGTGAAAGAGTGAATAATAAAACTGTGTTTCTTCCCTTAAAACTTAAAATATACTAATGTGACAAGTTCAAGTTTAGATCTTTCTAACAAATGTAAAACAATCGTTTGCTTAGCTATGAAAGAAGCTGTATTTGCATAAAACGCAGTCCATCTTATAAAGATTATTTTGTTTTCATGTATACAAACAGTAAGAAGCAGTTTTTGTTTAGCATTCAATTTGTTAATGCACTTAATAATATCATCTTCATGTACAGCACAGTAGGAAATGTACAGTAAGGATGCAATAAATCTGAGTAGCATTCTTTCCTGTTTCCCATGTGCTTTATCAAAAGATACAGAATTTGTTTACCCAGCTCTTTACATCTTCGCTATTTATCGGATATGCATACAGAATTCCCTACTAATAGAAGAAAAAAAAATCTGTTCATGTCTGTATTGTCTAAAGATGATGGGTCTCTTTTTGGACTGATGTACTCTATAGCTACCTATAAAAATACAAGAGGAACCGTCACTGAGTAAATTCTGGCCAGTGCAAAATCCAGGAAGGGATTTTCTTTCTTGATCTTCATTACCTTTAATTAAAATAAAATTTTTAAAAAATCATCTTATTTTGTGGATTGTTGTTTGGAGGTGTTTAAAATCTTTATTTCAATCATTTTTCAATTCTTATTTCATTTAGGATAGTGGAATGGTTCTTACTGTTGGAGATCATTCAAATTTAATCATACTTTGTGTGTATGGGAGTTGTTTATGTGTTGATGATTTAGGATATTAGGCCAATTTGTATATTTATATGTTAGGTTTTATTCCTGCCTGGAAGAAGGTTAGCCCTCTTAATTTTGTGTCCAGCACTGATTGAATGAGTATTTATGGCTTTACGGTAACAGAGCATAAAGAAATCACAGAATCACAAAATGACTGAGGCTGGAAGGGACCCATAGCAGTCATCTCATCCAGCTGCCTTGCTTAAGCAGGGCCAGTTACCCAGGACCAGGTCTAGACAGCTTTTCACCATTCCCAAGGGTGGAGACAGATACGCGATGCTTTTGAAACAGAATTTATTATGACTTGACTTTCATTCATAGCTTACCCCTACCATGAATTTCCCTTAGATTTAGTAGATGTCAGATGTTTAATTGTCAATTTTCCTAGCATCAAAATAGATGCCATAGATACAGCCTCCAGGATGCAGAAAATTGTTCTTGGTTTTCTGAGCTCATCTGGACTGGTGGTGTTTTTAAGTCTTGACCAAATCTATTCATTATCACATTTATCTCTCCATTTGCCATTAGTATTTCTAAAAAAAGAAAAGAAGATAACAGATTTATGTGGTTGATACTCTGTGGGTTTTTTGTGTAAAATTATTATGAAATTCTGCTCTATAAAGTTTGGATTGCTTTGTGAAATTCACTGAAAATAGTAATCATAATCTGTGGATTACCATGTTGATTGGCAAGCACTTTTGTTTTTTTTTTCCTCTTCAATTTCTTTTTACAAAGGTTTTTCACTAAAACATTTTACAGTGTGGTATATCAGAATTATTATAATGTAATTATTTTGATAATGGTAATGAAAAACACTATCATGAGCTTTATTTTTGTCTGCGAACTAATATTGCAATACTTTAAAGAGTGGTATACTTACATACGCAATTTATCACTAGACATCAATTTCTTATACTAATTTATTGTTTTTCAAGATGTATAAAAGTTCTTTAGTTGTCAATGTGATACATGTATCAATGTTTGAAATCTTGCATCAGCCTGTTTCATAGGTGTCTAGGATATCTCAGACATTTGATTTTGAAAATGTGATAGTGATTTTAAAATGAGTTTAATGTCCAAAAATATACTAGAAAGAAAACTTTGTAAGCAGAAAAAATATTCAGTGCAGAAATGCATGATGCCTTGCTCCAGTAAAGTTCTAGTGGAGTAATTCTGATTTGTTTTTTTTCCTTGAATTCTAGATTTATCCATGGCAGTACAAAAATTTTCACAGTCTTTACAAGATTTTCAGTTTGAGTGTATTGGAGATGCTGAAACTGATGATGAAATTAATATTGGTAAGTATTCTCTTTACTTTGCTGGCAAAGCATTTTTATAGTTTCTTATAGCATGTTATCAGAAATACGGTGGGGGAATTCACATTTGTTTTTTAATGGTTCATGTCACAAAAATAGAAAAATTTCAATAAATAGAAACCATGCAACACTTTAAAAATACATGTCAAAAAACTGCGTCTTCATGGCATAGCTTGATTTATTACAGCAGAAGGTATTCAACAGTACTTTTGTCAGCTGAGTCAACTGTGAATATTCTAAATTCTGCTGCTACTTTTATGTTTCAGTCAGTTTTCAGTGGGTTACTAAAAGGTACACAAGTTTTCTATGATGTAACATAAATCTGCAAAAAAACACCAAAGTGCATACTGATACACAGGAAATATTTAAGGTCTAAAAAGAGGAATATATTCATTACAACTTGTGCATTGCTAAATATATGGTTGTCTGAACTTTTGCCAGGATAATTTGCTAGCTGCTTATTGTTCTGTCTCTGTACACACCAGAAATTCTGCATTTGCAGAACTGAACAGCTCAACATGTCTTGAATGTAAGCCTCTTTAAAGTCATCAAAATACTCCTCCCTCAGCAGACTAATCCTGGAAATGTTTCCAAGGTTCAGAAATTGAGCCACTCTTTACTGCAAGACATTGCTGCAGTTGTAGTGATGCTTTTACACAGTAGCACAGCAGCTGGAGTGCTAACCCCCACTGGTAAGAAATTTGGATTACAATCCATCTTCAGAAAGGCTAAATTCAGTATCATGAGTCTTACATACCACATGGCCCCCATGTGTCTCCTAAAACATCTGAGAGGAAGTAAGATGGTTCTTAAAGAGTAGTGACTTCTAAAAATAAATAATTTGGCAGTACAAGAGGGAACATAGGACTTGTTGGTATTTTTTGAAGAAGTTCTATGTAACACAGAGGGGAAACTCAGATGTAGTCTTTTCCAAGTGTATCTATTAGTATGGTCTATTTTCAAGTCTCCTCTCCCTTCAATTTTTTCCTTTTTCTGACTGAGTCATTGGACAGAAGGTCTGAAGTGCTTGTTTTCACTTGCAAGGTTTGCCTCATCCTCACCCTACAACATTGTGGTAGTCAGAAGACTGTCATCAAAGATGACTGGTATTTGGTCACGGTCTTCCACTAACTCTTGGCAGGGCGTGGGAGGGGAGGTTTAATTTTACTGGCAATTAAAAGTAGGGGAGTGAAATCACTGAGCTGCTGCTACTCAGGTGTAAAACTGAACATTCTTCAGGTGTGTTCACCATGGAAATAGAAATGGTGTGCATGTACTTTTTGTCATGTTGCATATTATTTCTTGGCTGTTAAGATTATACTGTATATGTATATTTTTAAACCAAATCTGCAGTATCTCAGCTATATGTCTTAGATTGGGTCAATAAATGTCTTAGATTGGGTCAATAACTTTTTTTAAAGACATACGGTTTTGCATTTAAAATCAGGTGACTGAGAACAAAGACAACATTTTACTTGTAACGTAAACGTAGCAAAGAAAAGACATTTTATTGTTTGGACATTAAACAGGCATTTAAAACTGTTCAGGAAAAAACCCCAGTTCATGATGCTTGACAGCTGATTTATTTCACTTGAAGCTTCAAAGAAGGGATTTCTAGCTTGCAAAGGACCAATTGCCTGATGGATTGTCATGTACATCAAAGAAGCTTGTAAGAGTAAAAGGTAAACTGACAGGAATCAAATTCAAGTCTAACAGAGCTTGAATGATACTGTGTGCTTTTATGGGGTAAGGCTCAATTTTTGTTCTCCCTAGAGCAGTGACCTAGAATTTATCCATATCTTTAACATGCCCCAACAAGATAGATGTTTGCTTATCATCAAAGACAGCTTTGTATAGATGAATCCTACTCTGTACCTCCTTCTGCCTTCACCTCCTTTTTCTAAAAATGTCTACAGCTGTGCAGGCCAGGGAGTTCTACTTCAGTCTGCAGTGATGTTCTGACTTGATAACATCTGTAAAACCCTATGGATATATGCATAGGGGCTTATTGTAAGGACTACATTTCTATTTCAAGCTTAGCATTGAAAATCTACCCTAATACACCTTAGCACTGGGAATTCACCTCTGACTTGTTCTGTCAGCATGTATTTGAGTATTTTTTTAAAGGTTCAGAGTCTTTCAGCATTAAATATAAGTGATTTAGGTGATTTTTTTTTACCAATAAAAAAATATTTGGAATTTAATTGATAGCTCCATTAACATTTTTGAGGCGATACTGGAGTTGAGGGTCTCTCTTTAGTAACTAAAGTTGAGGATCTCTCTTTAGTAACTTTGTTTTGGCTTCTTTCTGCTTTCCAGTCTGAGATCTAATAAGAGCAGTTCTATTTGCATTTCCTATAAACTGTGCATTTTAGTTGTTTTTTTAATATAACTTATTTATTCCAGTAAGCCCATTACATTAAATACGTAAGAAGTAATTTTAGTTAAGCTTTATGACACACTCCACATAAACAGAATTATGGTGGTGTTCTTCATGCTTATTTTAATCCATCTTCTATTTAATCCAGTGGTTTATTTGTTTGGGTTGCTTTGGTTTTTTTAAGTCCTATCTTTGATTTCTAATTTTGATGATTTATTATCTTTTATTTACAAGGATTTAATTTTTGCATAGAAGAGCTGTTCTTCTTTGACAAAAAAATCTTATCTCTGTCTGTGTCTGTATAATGCATTTTACGTAGTTTTTTTCATGTTGCTGGAAGTTAGGCAAATTTATCTTCATAGTCACTTTCAGATATACCATGCCTAGTTTAGAGTCATGTTATGCATGAGTTGTAAGGAATTTCTGTGACTGTCTTGGATAAGTAGACTGCCTTGTTCCTCAAATCAGCTACAGTGCTTATGGTTTTGGTTGGTTTCTTAACTGAACATCAAAGGACTCAAGCTATAAAACCTTTTTCAGTTTTTAATCTTTTTGCCAGAAAATTTGGTTTGAGAAACAGTGGTCCCCATCTTTACTAGTTTTTCTCATTAAAAAATAAAACAAGCCAGCAACAATTGCTGGTTTTGTCTCTTCCTCTGGTTTGGAATGCTTGTGGAAGCATGTGATATGCAACAATGTATGACTATTCGATGGCAGAACATGGTTATTAGCTCCAGTTGCATGTGATTCAGTGAAGCTATAACTGTGTCTTGTGCAACTGAAAAGTTTTGCAGAAGATAGCATTTTCAATGCAAAAATAACAAGATGAGTGACAGCGAATTAATACCACTAAAAAGCCATAGTAATGAAAGTTTTATGCGACTTGCCCATACTCTAAGAGGGTGTGGCTTTCCTAATCTAACAACTGTGTTTTCCTCAGAAATAACAACAGTTGATAACACTTTGCCGTTTGCTTTTTAGACATATCACCCTGTTCCCAGCCCTCTTTGTAAATATTTTGCACAAAAATTAAATACTTAAGATTGACAGTAAAGGAGTTTAGTCATTTGTCTTGCCCACTGGGAGTTTTGTGTAAAATGGGTGCATGATTTTTATGTTTCAAACCTTATAGGTAACATAGAACTTTACATGGGTGGGACAGCTGCAAAAACAATGTTTTTAATGATCATCTATCTTTTTCCTCAGTATACACTGCAGGCATAAATTTTGCAAGAAGAAGGTTTCCTGAGCTCCTCCTAGTATTATCCAACTTGTATCACCTGGATCTCTCCCTAGGAATATCCCTGTTTTGATCCTCTTTTATTGTTTGTGTTATCTGATTTATGGCTGCTAGAGAGGAAAATAATAAACATTAATAACTCAATGGAATTCTGTCATGTGCCTTTAACAAGTTTGTGTCTATTTTGTATAATGGCTAATTATATATCTGTGAGATCTAATATCTGCAGTATAAGACCATGCTCTTCAGAATGTAAAAAAAAACAAAGCAAAGAAATACATTCTGAAATTCTAGCATTTTATTTTAGTATCTGTGTTTTATTATCAAGTGCTGTTTAGGAAAGTGCACTGAAAAGCATATGTCTTTCACTCTGTGACTGCTGGTTTTGAAGTCTGGGGCTTTCTTCCCTGCAGAGAATTATATTATGACAGATGTTTCAGGTAGCATCAGATGCTTAATTTAAGAATGTAATAGGATTATGATTTATGATATATGATGATTTATGAAATCATTATTAATTGAGCCACAAAGAATAGGTCAGAAGTTCTAAAATGTGGTATCTTTTCTTGTGGGCACTAAATTCTTCTCTGGCCGCTAGTGGCTGGGGCTTGTGATCTTTGCTGACTCATACCTCAAGTCATTCATGGGATTATTAAATTGCTTGCAACTAACCATCTACAGAACTGTTAGCTCATACCTGGCAGTTATATTGTTTACAGCAGTTAGTTTCAAGTTGAACTTTGAAAAATCGACTCAAACGTACTGGAGAGAAAGAACTCAAAACCAAACAAACAAATTCAGAATGCTAATAGTAGTTGTTTGTTAGAGTCCACTACTGTGTTTTCCTTCTTGTTTTAGTTGAGCAGTGATGCCAGAAGCTCAGTCTTCTTTCTTTCTTTCTCATACTGGGCATCCAGGTATACAATGCTTTTCAGTTAGAATTTGCTCTACCCTCTTGGAGAGCTCATCAGAGGAAAAGCATCCTGTAATTCAAAGCAGCAAATAAATCTGTACCAGGAAATTTGTATAGAAAACTACAGAAAAAAAAAGGAAAAAAATAATGATGTTTCCTTTTCCCCCCATCTTTTGTAACAGTGTAAAAGTTTAATTGACTTTAAGAGGTACCAAATTACATTTTTAATGGCGCATGCTGTGGATACAATGTTCTATTCAAATAAATAAATTTAAAACAACAACAAAAAATTGCATAGGAGCTTTATACATGCCTACAGTGTGTAGAGAGAAATCTTGACAATCAGTCTGTGGACTTGGCAGTCTCCAGGTTAGGACACTGCCTTTTGGAGGTTCATCAGGAATCTGAGAAGGTAAATGTCAGGTTACTCATGATTTCAAGCCACTGTG